GGTGATTCTAAATTGTCCGTAGGTGTGAATGTGAGTGTGCTTGGTTGTCTGTCTCTAAGTGTAGCCCTGTGATAGACTGGTGACCTGTCCAGGGTGTCCTCTGCCTTCACCCTGATCCAGCTGGGATAGACTCCAGCCCCCCATGACCCTAGTGAGGATTGAGCGGTGTATAGATGATGGATGAATGGACGAGTATTTTGATTGAGACTGATTGGGATTCAATGCTGATCAGCAACAAATGGGCAAAACTTTGAATCCTGTTTAAAGGCACTGCAGTACTTTATTGTGTAATTTCCAGTTTTGTCCACAGGGGGGAGCACTTGTCATTTATTTATTTATTTTTAACATGGGACAGTTGACTTCAGTCTGATGTCAAGTTTACAGAGGAACAGAATGCATAAGAAACAAAACAAATCAAAAAAAGAACTCCAATCTGATGTCTGCAAACCTCATTTTTCTTTAAATATTACTGAAGGACTTTCATTAGATTTGGAGTTTGATAGAAGAAATCTTCAGGCTGCTTCTTGTCAGTACAGGTGACTCGACTTATGCACTTAACTTATTCATCCAAAGGTAAAACGTGGCCTCTTTGCATGAAGCACATACAGTCTGGTCCGTCTGCTCTGCTGCACTTTCCCTCTCGCTAAAGCTCACCACAGCCAGCAGCACAACATGATGTGACATGAATCTGATGTTGCTTCAAGCTCAACGCTTACACAACAGCAGATTGTGTAGATTTTAACTAACCTGAAACATTTTTTTTTTCTGAACACAGCTGGTGTGTGTACTACGCTCATGTTTCACTGAGGCCATAACGGGGTGTGTTCGACTGTTTCTGCGTCCTGGAGAAGGGATGCAGGAAGCTGTATCATAGGTGAGGTGTTGTAACAGCAGACTGTGCCCTGTGGCGGTGAAAACACACCATCACGACCCAGTGAACACACACACACAGACAGTAACCTCTGGAAGGAAGGAAACCACACAGGTGGACATACTTTGAATTTTCAAGATATCAGAAACCTTTTCTGTAGTTTTAAGGTGAATTCAGGCAACTTCGATTAACTATTTCATGATCTCCTCTCATTAGTTGAGGGCTTTTTTAGAGTTCGTCTGCTGAAAGTTTCTCAGTGCTCACCTTAAATCTAAGTTTTTGTGGTTTGGTATTAAACTTAATGATGTGGAAAACTGAAGCCTCTTGTGTTTAGCCCAAAGGCTTTTCAGTGAAGTAGGAACTTTTAAATGTTTGAAATAAATATGGATTTTTTTTTAGTGAAGAGGAAAGAAGAATTCTCAACATGGTGACTGAACTTTTTAGTGAGAAAACTCATTAGACACTANTATTATTATTATTATTCAGGGCAAAGATGACACCAAATTGAACAAAGAAATACGAGGGTGATCCCAGACAGACAGAACTAAAGGTTTTCTTTTTCCTGGCGAGGTGGAGCAATCCTTGTTTTGATCTCACGCTGTAGAGTCTGTCCACCTTTTATTCAAACCGCCACGTAAAGATAACCTCTGAGCTGAAAGTCTAATAGTATTTTTTTTTTATTATTATATATTGTTTTTCTTCGATCAGATATCAGGATCGATTTATTTCTTGTTACCCCGGTTTGGGTCATAAATTGTGTGCTGTTATTTTATTTTATTTTTTTTCCCCTCTCCCCACCATCATCCCTGCCCTCTGCTTCTTTTTTGGAGTTTTATTTCTATTATTATTTTTTTTAAATTCTTTTATTCTGGTTTGTCTGATGCTGTAGTAGTGAGCTGATGGTCAAACACCAGAGCTTTTTTTTTTTCTCGTGTGTTTTGTAATGCTGACTGATGTTGCACTTGTGATGGGTTTTTATTTTTATTATTATTTTTTTTGTTTGTGTTGCAGATTGTTGTGCAGAGAGGAGAATATTGGGTGTTTTCCTTATTTTCTTAAAAAAAAAAACAAGAAGTCACAGCAGTTATTTTATCAATCATTTAAAATCTGTGACACAGAGCAAGAAAATGATTCAACAGTGTATTTTTCTCACTGGTATTTATTTATTGGTCATTTGTATTTTTTTTGGTTTGTTTTTTTTTTATTTGTTTTTATGTGTGTTGCTTTTTTGCGGAGGGCAAACAGGACTCAAGGTAGAGGAGTAGTCTCTCATTGGCGTTTTGTCATTATGTACAGAAATCAGGCATCACACTAACATGATTCAGTCTATTTAGTAGGTTAAAAAAAAACAAAATAGCAACCAGCAGCGCGGTGAAGTGTTTCCGGCTTTACTGCGACTTTTACTGACGTCGTCCGTTATTTTGTTTGCTGTTTACCCTCTCAGAAGGCCAAGACAAACACATGGTGGTGTATTTGACTCTCTGCTAATAACTCACAGTTAAAGCTTGTATTGTTGGATGGTTTTTAAATCTGAATGCCACCTACGACGCAGACTATATATATCTTTTTTGTTTTTTCCGGTGTTCCAGCTGATGATAACTACTACGATAGTGGACTGATTGGCTTGTTATTAACCTGCACTCCCCTGACCGGCACGGTGGGACACGCCTGCTTTGGAATATCACCGAGGGGTTTGTTGCTTTCTAAACGCAGTCGTCGGTCTGGATTTGCATGACTTGTGCTGGTTTGCAGGGTGGGAGCAGGGGGGGGAGGACTGACTTCAGTCAGCGCTGTCGCAGTTCGAAAAAGCTTCTTGTATGTACGACACACCACGGTTATAACGTCTTGACGGTTGTATCAGTCGACACAGCTTTACTGCCCGTTTCTTTGAATTGTTTCGTTTGTTGTTTTTTTTTGTTGTTGTTGTTTTATTTTGGCTGTATTTTTATCCCTCCCCCCTCCCCAGTCTCATTTCAAACAGAATAAATGCCATTATATTGTGAATACCTCAGGATTTTTTTGGAGAAAAAAATAATAAAACACTTAAAAATCAAATAAATAAATAAATAAAAAACTCATAAAACAAGTTGCTGCCGTTTGTCGTCCTTTAACCTGACCCCAGTGAGGGTCGAGTGCCTCCGTTTGGTCACATGATTGTCGGTTTCAGAAGTCCAGATGTGTTCAGACAAACTCACACACATCAGTCGAGCAAATGGTTTTATCTTTGAATTAATAGTCATTTAATTAAGAAAGTAGAAATGTGTATACTTTAGTATTATATCAATAACAGCACCTAAAATCACATTTAGTTT